ACTTTAATTAGAGACTCAAAGATGATTAACTTAGTACGAAAAAAAGTTTTCTTTGGACAATTACTAGAAAATTTCTAATTTCGCATCTATAGTAATTTATATATAGAACTGCGTTATGTTTTACTATAATCATTCTTCAGTTGACTGGAGAATCGTCAATTAAACTATCTTTTACTTTTAAAACATTATATATTCGTGTTCTTTACGTCTTGCGCATTTTTTTTTTTTTTTTTTTTTTGCTATCTTAAACTATTTTTTACTTACTATTTTTTTTTCGCATCCACATTTTAAAGTCTGACATGAGAAATAATGACGCAATTTTTTTTCCTATAAATTGAAATCGATAACTTTTTTTTTTTTTTTTGTTACTTTGAATTCTCTTATTCTAAAATATCGGTATGGAATTTTTATATATAAAATCCAAGAATAACCCTACCAGTATAAATGTTAAAAACCAAACTGATAGAAGTTTTGAAACTAGAAATGTCGATATCCTGGACAATAGAAATAAAGAAAATAAAAGAAGGATCAATAGTGACCTGAACAATATCTTGTATCAGGGTCTGAAAAATGACGTAAACAACGATTTGGACAATAGTCGGAATAAAGATCTGGATAATATACTGAATAACAACCTGAACAATACTCTGAATAAGGACTTGAAAAATGACCTGGACAATATTCTATATAAGGACCTGAAAAATGACGTGAACAACGATTTGGATAATATTCGGAATAAAGACCTGGATAATACAGTGAACAATGACCTAAACAATACCTTGAATAAGGACTTGAACAATGACCTGGACAATATCCTGTATAAGGACCTGAAAAATGACATGAATAACGATTTAAACAATAGTCAGAATAAGGATATAAAAAATGACATGACAGATAATCCGATGAATAACCTGAAAAACGATCTAAAAAGTGATTTGAATGATGACTTCAATAGTAACCTAAATAAAAACTTAGAAAATAATCTAGTCAAAAACCTGGATAAAAAAAAAGAGAATAAAAGTGAATCAACTTTCTAAGCATTTAATTGACATTCCTTACCTGAGTTATTAAAGCCTGTACTTTCTAAAAATTATTCATACTTAATTAAAAACTTCAATGTATTTTCGCCATTTCAAACTGCTGAAAAATTTATAATTCCACAATTTGAATTGGATGCATTTGTAAATATTGACAATAAAGAAAAGGCGTCTCAATAGTTTATGGAATTTGAGTCATGGTCAAAGACCACAATGCTTGAAACTAAGCGTTATTAAATTAAAGAAAAACAGGTGCTTTTTCGAGAACTCCGCCACTGTATACACAGTAATAAAGTAAACGACAAACAAGGAAATCAAGAAATAAAACGCCCAGGTTCATCTCGAACTCGAAATATAAATTGCACTGCAACAATCCACATTCGATTAGAACGTTGGCGCCTTGAACTCGATTATCTGTTTAAAATAAATATAAAATTTACTTATAACTATGTGATTAATTCAGCAGCATCATTGAGTTTTCACCGTGTAAAGGATGAAGTACGTGAAAAATATCTGGAATTGCTTAAAGACGGACATTCTCCTGCATCTGTACTGCACGCTTATAAGAATGAGCTTCATTTGAATATTACAAATGATCAGAAGTTATTAGAAACACTTGCCGACTAAGCTTACAACCCCGATTATGATTATGTTTTAAAACTTTTTCAACAATATCGTAGTAATACTTTAGGCGATCGTAATAGAAAATTAATGTTTGAACGTTTAGCATAACTTGTTAACGACTATAATAATTCTGGTAAAGGCAGAGCAGTATTACAAGAATATAATGAATGTAGTGAAAAAGCATTCATACTTTGTATTGTAACAAGCTTGATGTTGCGTGTTCATGAAAAAATCCCACAAGCGGGCGAATTGTGTTATGTTGATGCGTCGTCATCATTTGAACCTCTAAATAATTTAATCACGATTTTTTATACTAGCTGTACGGCCGGTGCACTTCCGTTAGGACTAACTGTAACGTCCGATGAAACTGAAGCTACATTAAAGAAGTCAATGGATTTATTAAAATCAATTCTTCCATCTTATGCATTTTTTGGGCGGGGACCTCAAATTGGACCAAGCATTTTCCTTACAGATGATTCAAGAGCCGAGCATAATCCTCTAGAACTTTGCTGGCCTCAAGAGATTCGTCTTTTATGTGTGTTCCATATTTTACAAGCCTTCTGGCGTTGGCTGTACGATGCAAAACATCAAATTAATAAGCAAGACCGTATATTAATAATGCAAAAAATAAAAACAATTCTTTATACATCATTCGTTTCCGAAATGAATTTACATTATAGTGAGTTCAAGCAAAATTTTTATCATTTATATCCTTTGTTGCAAAGACACTTTGTTATTTTGTGGAAGCGGCGTCAGTTTTGGATGCTGTCTTTTCGGTTAACACTACCAGTACGCGAAAACTACACTAACAATTACGTTGAGCGAGCTTTTGGTGTATTGAAAGATATTGTGTTCGCGAGAACACAAGCATATAACATAGTACAAGTATTCTGATTTTTGACTATGAATATGAAAAGATATTACGAGAGATGGTTACTTAACTTTTCACACGGTCACTCTGGACATTTACGAATTGCAAAGTGATTTCTTTGCCCAGGGTGGAATACTGTCGATGCTGGTTTTATTCAAAGAATAAGTCTAAATGAATTTTTAGTACCTAGCACAAAAAACACTGGCCTTTTTTATACTGTGAATAGTGAAATTAGAATGTGCACCTGTCTTGTTGGTATATCTGGTGCACTGTGTAAGCATCAAGAGACCGTCGCAATGAAATTTAATCTTTCTATATTTAATTTTGTACCTTCATTAGCACCTGATAGCCGTATGCTTTATTCATATGTTGCACTTGGTTACACTGCAAGAGATAACTCTTTTTATACATCACTTTATGGGAAATTCATTTCACAAAATCAAGAACATCCACAATTGAAAATGATGCTAAATAACATTAATGAAAAACCATGTGACGATGATGATCATAATATTGATATAAATGAAACTAATGCTATCACATTTACTGATTTCTTAGATGAAGTTAAAGAGGATTATCAAAACGCTAGCCCTCAATTATATACTGCGCTAAATAAGTTCGCCGAACGTTATAAAGCAGCAAAAAACCAATTGATCTCCCGGTTAACTTCTTTTCTTTATAACCTTAATGGTAGTGCAGACCTCACCGCTCACATTAAAAGTAGCTTTATGATACGGGTTCAAGTTGAATCTGTTAAACGACGCAAGACAGAAGGATCGGAACGTAAACGAAAATTACCAGTAAATACAAATGCAAGGAAAACTCTGATCTACAAATCATCCCTAGCCGAAAAAAAAGGAATGATGGTAAAAAGAAACACAATTTGAACAAAAATGTTATGAAAAATAAATTAAATTGAAGGCTGTTTAAAAAAAAAAAAAAAAAAAAAATTGTAATGCATAAAGTCGGTTGTTGCTACGAACATGAAATTGGATTAATTGAATTTGGAGTGATAATATAAGGTATTTATATATATTATCAGAATTCAGCAAGGAAATCTAATACATGTAAATGCTATACATAGCAATTTTTTTTGAAGAACTAGTCAATTATTTTGAAGCTCATTTAATTGAAACAAAAAATACGTAGTCGGTTTTGCTTGCATTAATATGAAATAATATAATATATATAAAAGTAGTGCAAATTAAAGTCGTACTTTTATTTTTTTTTTAGAATTTACACTGTTTTATGCAAAGTTTCACAGCTAAGTTTCGCATTATTATTTATTATGTAAGTTTTACTTTACGTACCAATTTTAAATTATTAGTTTATAGTATTTAAATTCTGTACTATTTAAAGCGGCTTTATTCAAGTTCAAAATTATTTAAACTTGTGATTATTATTAAACGAATTTGGCATGAATTTGAAACTTATATTTCATTGGTCTGCCAATCATCACGTGCGGTGTGGCTAAAGATCTGCGCCACAAACCTGGCACACATTTCTGATATGCATCTGCATAGCTGTTGTTTTGGTGTTATTTTCTGTATTGGATGTTGAGTCATATATTTTGTTTATTGTTAGCTGTGTTTGTGCATCTGCTATATTTGTGTTATTTTGTGTGTTTGTGTTTCCTGTGATTGTTATGTTATTGTTATTTCCCGTTATGGTTGTTGTTGTGTTATTCTGTATAACGTATGATGTCATAGTGTGTTTTGGCAAGGGTAAGCTGTTTTGCCCACTTTTTGTCGATTTTTTGTAAGTTGTAAAGATGGGTATATTATTGTAGTAGCGTCTTTTACTTTGGGCAGAAGTTTGTTGGTTGTTGTTTATATTCTGTGTTTCTTGGTTGTCCATACTGTTATCAATTGGTAACTTAGGTGCATACACTGGTATATATATATTATTTTGCTCTTGCAAGCTGTTTTCTTCTACCAAGTCCGTTGAAGACTGGTTGTTGATGTTTTTGGTTTTCTTGTTGTGTTTTTTATACTGTTGTTGTTTTGTTGTTATATTAGTTGTTGTGTCAGTTGTTCTCCTGCATTTTGTATTAATTTTGTCTTTATTCTAGCTTTATTTAGGTCTTTTTTGAATATCTTTCTTCGATATTTTGTTAATTTTTGTAATTTTGAGTAATTGTCGGAAAGAGTTTTTTTATTATTATTATTATTATTATTATTATTAATTTACTATTATTATTATTATTGTTATTATTATTACAATTATTATAAATGCACCTATAGTGATTTTGTATCTATTATATGTTTTTATAATATTTTTTAAATTTTTTAAGTTTTTTAAGTTTTGTATATAAAATTTTAATACTAATTTTTTATATTAAAGTTAATAATAAAATTAGAATTAGGGTTTGGAAAGAGTTTTTGGGATGTAGAACATTTTTACTTAAAATACTTTATACCAATTAATTATAAGATAATGTATATATAGGAATAAAATACTATAGATATGTTTTAGTAAAATTCTTATTATTATTATTATTATTATTATTTAATATTAAGGTGATCATTTTGGAATCTATCACATTTTATTAAACTTTGGATCAAATGTTAAAGCAATCACATAGACTACTCCTGACTTTATTATATTAATGAGAATACATTCTAGCCATATCTGTGGCTTTTAAGCACTTAATTAAGTAGTTTTCTATTACTAAATACTACACTAAATACCATATTTATAACCCACTATTACTTGAATTACCCAATTAAACTCTCTGATTAACTTAGTGCCGTTGGATATTTTCCACTAAAGGAACTACTACTAAGGCCTCTTAGAACTATTTTATCCTCATAGTAAACCTATTAGAGCAGTTTATATTCTGTATATGTATTATCTAGGTTTTTGATAACTTACATCTAGGCCACAGCTAAGTACTTGCAGCTTTTTACTTCTGCTACCGTTACCTACTCTGTGCCTTTAAAAAGTTCCTCCAAATCTCAGTATCCACTTTATAGACTATCAACAGTACTTTGATGCTAACTAACAATATTTTAAACTTCTAATCCAAATGCCTAGAAGAAACTAATGGCATCATCCAATATTCTGAAGAAATTTTTTTTTCAGGCTAGTCTGGTGGCCTGGTTAGTATAGTGCTTGCCAAACACTTGGTTCTCATTCAGTTTACTGCTAGTGTTTGTTTCCTCAGATGATAATCTTTTATATAGTACTGTCAAAGATTTGTGCTATCTCTTTACTCAAAACTTCCCAAATAGGCTTTTGTATCATCTGATCTCTTAGATTTATTTGGTTACTTCACTTGAATTTCATATAACTCATATGTTATACTAACATTTTGCAACCTCCTAGTACAAGCTAATGTGATCAAAGTCACAGAAGCTTACCCGATCAATATATTATACAGATTTATTATAATATATTCTATAAATTCGAATTTTGTTACTAGTGGAATTCGAACTCTTGTTCTGCCGCTTGGAAGTGTGACAATTTACTAACTACACTAAATTGCATACCTTTAAAATACTTA